TGTTTAGCCTGTGTAATGACTGTAGCATATGAGTTAAGGACACAAATGTATATGTAGATGTAAACTGAGGCCAGATATTCACTAATTAAGAGTTCTCCAGAACACAGCCAGATCAGACTTGTGCTGCTAATTTGTTCAGCTGCAAGCACTTTCAACTAATTAGTTGCTTGTAAAAATTAAATCCATGTGGACAGGTGCATTCATATAAACATTTCATTGCGTTTCATGTAAAACATCTGATTTATTTGACAAAAGGAAACGACGACTTTGCCAGTTTCCTAGAAACATATATACTTCTACTTAAAGTTTGGTTGGTGACCATGACTGCGTCATATAAGTGTGGAGGCAGTGGTTGCAGTAGTGAAGCTCACTGTTTTAATGTTTCACATCCAAAACAATATTACCAAACTTGCCGTGTTGGAGATATGATTCACCTTAAAATAAAGTAGTTGGGCACGTTTGTTAACCACCTGATGTTTATCATAGTTGTAATAAAGAAGACGCCGATGATCAGAATTCATTTGACAAGGAACAAAAATACTCCTTGACAGTAGGACTATGTTGAAGCCCGTATGCTCAATGGGGGTCATTTTGGACACTCTAAAATAACCCAGTGGTTTACCTGTATTACTCATGCATTAGGTATACAGTATAGCATAGGGGTAAAAAGGACGTGAAAATACTTAGAAACAAGGTATATTTGATTGTGGACACTGTACCTCCCTGGCAGAAGTTGAAACCCATATTCATGTCGCAAATGAAGGCCTTCTTGGATTTTCTCAAATTGCCCAAGAATACACGATTGTTAGACGCCAGATGTGTATTGCAGGGGAAATACGAATTCAGAATTAAGCCACTGACAACAAATCTTTATCCGACAATTCACCCCTCTCTCCAACCCGATTCTTCTTATTACTTATTATTGTAAACCTAGTAATCAAAAAACATTATTGCCTTCAATGACAACAATTAATAAGATAACAGAAATTTGGTAGAGATATTCTTTCTGACATAATTGCATTACGGGCTGGGTACAGTACAAGGAAGTGGCCCCAGGGGAATTGGATTACTTCACCGAGAATGGAAATAATGAGGCAGCGACCAGATCAATTCGTGGATAAATACCGATTCAAGTGTCAAACCTGAACTGCCAAGGAAGTTGTTTAATGACATTTTAAGTGCATGCGGATAGGTGATCTGCGTTCAAGATATCCCTGATTTACAAATAATAGGTTTTCATAGTAGAAATTGGCATTGTAGATACAGAATAAACCGGGTTATTATAGTACATGTAGTACGATTCATACCCTTGAAAATATTTTGTGGTCGATATCAAAAATATTTACGCTGAACGGTCAAAGTGGTGTGTGTTTATTTGATACCTTTGAACATATAAATTTACAACAAAATACTTTAGCATCAGTAATGCATTTTGCAATGTACACAAAGTTTCCCGTTTTGGACATGTCAGCAATGGAGGAACCGTGGGACGGAACTACGGGCACACGCCCCTGTCACGTGTCCCTGTCGTGTGCCCCTCTCTCTGTAACATGTCTAACATTATTGTACGTATTTCAGTAAAACCTGCCCTCGTCTAATAATGTATATGAGCCCCACCAAACGAAGTAATTACATTGTGGCTCCCCGTGACAAAATCCCTATATATATTTATATCCACCCGTACTGTTTCATGGCGTGGCCGTAACAATAGTCCCAAGGTTCTTGGTTCAAAGTTTCGAATGCATGAATATAAAGTGTATAGTTTACTGGCAGCTAAGGAAAGTCCATCAGATGCGCCTACAAACGATTTTTCGGACAAATTAATCTTCGGATTATCGAGACACTCCAGCAGTAGCAGTAGGTATGGCAAGAAGCAGGCGACAGGTTCGCTTGAATTTTTAAATATTAACAAGGATATACAGTTTGCTGGGTGGGGAAGTTGGCGCCAACGAAACGTGCTTGCTACATTTGTACAGGTCGGACTGAATTTTAGTCTGGATGACTGGTGCTATATTTTGGCCAAATTGCTCAAAATGTGGAAAAAGCATGAAACTTGGCACAAATGTTCTTTGGTCTATGCTGATCATTTTCAAGGGCAGTGCCCAAAATTTCAAAGCGTTGCTTAGCAACCGTTGCTATGGAAGTGAATTTCCTTAGTAACAAGCTAATTAGACCTTTCTTGTCCAGTTTAAATGGTTTAGAAATGCTAATAACTATGTTTCAGGGCATCAGAACTATCACTAGACTATTTTAAGGCAATTAAAACCCAAATTAACCTTAGCCACGATTGCTAGGCAGCATATTATCCTAGCAACAAGCATTTAAAGTTGCGTTAGTCTATTAAGTAAGGCAAATCTATAATACTAGCTAAGAACTACACTTTTGAGCAAGATGTTCATACTTTTAATCCAGTAAGTTGAACCAATTGTGTGTTTACACATATCCGATCAAATAAATTGCTAGTGTAGATACTTGAGGCAGCATGTTCAAAATTAGTAACCAGCCATTTCCATGCTTTTATCACCTTATGACTCTTTATAAAACTTTGCAATAGTTAATAATAATAATAATAGTTAATTCTCCCTTGTATGTGCAATATACAGTGCATTTTGCCCTTGCACATTGTCAGCCTCTACATCTGCACCTACATGCACACTGGAGCAACTCTGGACAGGTCAATAGCTTCTGGCAAATGTGTCCACTTAGGCCCACTGTTCCGCAAAAGTCCAACCAGAGTGAGCACATGGTATCTGATGACATGGCACCGTAGTGCTGATTCAGATATGTTCATCTCGCAAGAATACTCTTATATTGTTGTAGAGCAGCCTTGGTGGAAGTACGATATGGCATCTAACGGCCTTTGGGTGTGAACAGAAACTTTTGAACTTCATTGATTAACAAATAGAATTAAAATAGAACCATGCAGGTGTATTTAAGTTACTTGGTAGAGAATAGAAACTGACAAAATACAATGTGAAAAAACTTTTTAGAAAATATTGAACAAAATGAAAAATATCTTGGAAATCTGGTCTATGAGAAACCTTTCAATTATAGGAAAGTCAACACTGGTTAAACCTTTAGTATTTCTCATCTTACGTAGGGCATGTATAAACTCTCCTACCAGCCCCCCCCTCCCTCAATACTTAAAATATGCATATCATATTTAACTTTATCAGGAATGGAAAAAGATACAAAATAAAATGAGCAAGGATGGCGTCTGATTACAAAAATGGACGGTAAAGGTACCGCAAATAAAAATTTTACCAAGGCCCTAAACTTTACATGGCTTAAAAGACTTCTTTATGAAGAAAATAAGAGTAAGTGGAGAGCGTTTTTCTCGGCGAAATGTCAGGAATCGGTAGTAACAAAAGGTGGATTAAAAATACTAAAAGCAACTTCTTATCCCTTTTGGCAAAGATTATTGGTTCTTTGAGTGAAATTCAGGAAAATTTCAATTTAACTCCAGATGAAATCTTATCACAACCATTATGTCAAAACTCAAAAATTGAAAGAAATTAAAAAACTATTTTCCATAAAAGATGGTGTAAAAATGATTTTGGTTTTTTTACATCAATGATATTATAAATGACATTTGAAATCCCCTCTGTCTAGAGGAACTCAAAAAAAAAAAAAAATCAACCTTAACACTAACTGTCTGGGCTAATTCAGCATGTTAAATACTTGTTGCTAGGGTAATATGCTGCCTAGCAACTGTTGCAATGGTTTACTTGGGTTTTTAATGTCTTAAAATAGTATAGTGATAGTTCTGATGGTTTGAAACATTATTAAAAGCCTTTTTAAATAATTTAATCTGAACAAGAAAGGTCCAATTAGCTTGTTACTAAGGTAAATCACTTCCTTAGCAACGGTTGCTAAGCAACGCTTTGAAATTTTGGGCACTGCCCTTGAAAATGATCAGCATAGTCCAAAGAACATTTGTGCCACTTTGAGCTGAAGTCACTCTTTTGAGAAATCTCAAGGCTGATTACATGGCTGGTAATTGTTTGCATAACTGCTCAGGCACTGCCACTTAGCAGGTCCAGTCTAAGTCTGCGTGACAGCAATCAAGACAGTTAATTGCTCTGACTTCAATCACTTGCTCTTCTGTGACAGATAAAAAAAGCCTTAGACTGGTTGCGTAACGAGCAGTTATCACATCGTTGTGAAGCTCAGCTCATGCAGAGCAAGTACAAAGCCTTTGGCGCGCGCGCAGAGATAATTGTTTCCACATGGGATTCCTCAACAGGGTGACTTCAGCCCAAAATGACCATCTATCTAGCTAGAGACATATCTGTGAATTAACATTTCGTTTTCCATTAAACATCTTGATTTTATAACACGAGCTTGTACTTGTTCTGATCTGAAAATTGCGTTTCATGGAAAAGTATATACGTGAACAAACATAAATTGTCGAACTTTGACTATCGGGTCCAAAAACATTAAACAAGATCAAATTAACAATAAAAATACGAAGAATAACGTTTTGTTCCTGAATATCAATATATTTTTCACAACAGAAAAAAAGGCTCAGTTTTACAAAATGTTTGCAAGTGCGTTGAAGTCATTGCAGGAAACAGCTGAGAAGGTAATCTGTGCTGACAGCATTATGAACACGGTATAATTATGGCAAATGCCATTTTCATATATCAGATAACAACCGTTGCCCATTTAGTTTGTTGGATATACTGTTCATATCTCACAAAGGAATTAATCAACAGAAATTGGCATCGAAGCTCCCAGGTGGCAGACGAGAGGTTTAAGTTGAGAACTCATTAGGTAAACTTACAATTGTAAAACCTCACTGCGATGCCGTTATATTCATTTATCGTCCATCAGATGTAATGTAAAAATAAAACATAAATTAAGGTTAGAGATCTGACATCTTACAACATATATATATGTATAACATACAAAGAACGCAGTCCTAGTGGAATACACAAAACAATTACAGGATATCAAGAAAGGAGATGGGAACAATTTCTTAGTCCCCCCCCCCCCCAACCGACCACAGTAAAATGAAAAGAAAATAGTGTGTTTGACAGCATATTGATTCAACTGAAAGCCTTCTCTGTTGGCCTTTCTTGTATTCTTGCCCCTTTTGGGAAATGAAAAAGAATGGAAGTAAGTGGGCTGAATCTACTGAATTGTTTTGGGTCGGGAGGATGCACCACCCTTTAGTGGGAGGATGCACCACACCCTATTTGGAGGAGGCACCACCCTCTGGTGGGAGGAGGCATCACCTCCTATTGGGAGGAGGCACCACACCCCCTGGATCCACATATGGATATTAACAGATTAATAATTCAGCTTGATAACTCAATACTATTAATATTTAATGAAACCTGGCTGTATTCAGCAGAAGGTTTACAATGTTTATATCCCTTGAATACTGTATAACTAAGTGTAAACACTGAAATTAAAATGATGTGGTGTTCTGCAGTATGTATATAGGAGATGTACTGAACTTCGTATGCTCTCCAATTTTCTTTAAGAAATGTAATGTAACCAACATATATCAGTATGTTAAGATGATCTTTGACATAATCGGGACATTGTATTCTTCAAAAAAAAAAAAAAAAAAAAAAAAAAAAAAATGAACCAATGTTCATTTCAGCCGGCAGTAGTACAATGGGTTTCTTCCCGATTACATGTGAAATGTATGTGCACACATAGCATGTCAGCTTGATCATCTACATAAATTGTAATTTCTTCAATCTCAGTGAGCCACTCCACTGTCTGTGAACAGAGCCTTGTCATTATGTTTGTCCTTTGTCTGCCATAACCATAACAAGTGCCAGTACAGTAACAAATCCTACAGGGACACTGTGTGAATGCATTTTATGATTTGTTACCATGACATCAGTCTTGATGGTTGGGCTTAAAAGCCATAAAACTGTTTTATCCATCTGAAAAGGGCAGTCTCTTGTTGACAGCAGTAAAATGCTGACAGAGAGCAGTTTGTTGAAGGTGTCCATTAAACAAATGTCTAGGGTGCTCCTAGACATAGTGTCACCATGGAAACCAGCCGCTAGGAGACAGAGCCATGTTGTGCAGCCATGGAAACCAGCTGCTAGGAGACAGAACATGTACATCTGGAGCACACACCTAAAGGCATTAAATGAAAAAAGAATTAATAATGCCATAAATTATAAAGTGAGATAAAATATAAAAGATGGCAAAATCCCCAAAATGTTTTCAATTGCTTCATAATAAAACTCACATACAAATTACATTTGGGAAGTAAGGCACTTTTGAGAGGGTAGGGAATACCTTTTGCTTTCAACATGATATAGGCCTTTTTTTTAGCGTGATGCGTTATTTGAACCCAATATTCTGTGTGAAATGTGATTCAGGAAGTCCTGGTGATTGGTGATTGGTCTGAATATATCTTGGTGATCCGAGATTGAGCTGTTTTAATCTTGGTGATTTTGATTAAGGGGGGTATTCCCTACCCTCTTTTGAGTGTGACAAATCAATGTAAGTTCTTCAAGATGGGAAGTTTGAAGGAACAGAAAACTACAGTAGTATGAAAAAGGATTGCTTAAAATCTAAAAATTACATTGCTGAAATAGTTATATTTTGATAAAAAAAACTGTGATAGCATCACCTCTCCTATGATGTTGCGCATGTTGGTCCGGTGGCTCCGTGTCTACCACATGTTGCATAGAGCGAGCAGCTTCCATGACAGCCCTTGCTGCAGCTTGGGGATCCCCGCTGTGGGCGGCCATTGCTGCTGCAGCTGTATATTTGGCTGCCTCAACCTGAAGTAAGCAAGTTTACGTTTCAGATGAACATTTAAAAGTGAATGTTAGTCATTACGGAACAAACTATTTTTGTTTGTTACTATGACCCATCTCTCATTTGGTTCTTAATCAAATAAAATACTTGTCAGAACCAAACTTACTGAATTAGAAAATGAAAATAAGTAGCATGAAATACTGTACATTTTATGACAAATGTGTAAAATGTACTTGTTGGATGATTTGATGATTAGTTATTTGTACATCTTTTTGATTCATCAGTTCCATAATAGAAGTTCAGTTTTGCTGTAATTTTAAATAAAATATTTTTTTAATGTAATACATAGTATATAGAACTACTACAAGTATACAATGTGTGGTTATATTGCATGTAATAGGTAAAGAAAATATTTTTTAAAAATTAAGCTGACTATAGATTTTTTTCAAATGAAGACATTAGATAATGCACACACAATGCCAAGAAAAAAATGTCAATCACTATCACACACACACAAAATGGAAACCAAACTTGTTAGCTCACTAGCTAGTAAGTACCAGTAAGTCTTAGGAATACAATTAGCTGTTTGGTTCCCATTGTATTCATTCTAAGGGAAACATCATTAATGTCCAGGTGCTGATCAAGTCAGTCTTTTCAGAAGCAGTCAAATCATTTTCATCAGACAGTCAATTTAATAATCTAAAATGGGTGATACCAGAAATGAAATGAGTGTGGAAGCATGGATGAGCCCACCTCAACCAGCTCCAAACTACTGTTTCACAAATCCAATTACCGTAATGACTTGATCTTTTCAATGGAGGAAAATTGTGAATTTTACAGATACTGTATTTTTTAAGTCATCCTTTCTTCAAAAAAGAGCATTTCTATTGAGTGGTTGCTTCAAAATTAAAAAGCAGACTACCTTGTAGTTCTACTCTATGCTTTAAAAGCACCACAAATGCTATACAAAAATATAATTTTAATGAATTTAAAATGATGTATCTGAAAGTTTGTTAATTTTTGCCCATTGAAAAGATTGGGGCATTACCTTACACTCTTATATATGATTTTTGTGACCTTTTCAATGGACTCTCCAGGCAAGCCAAATTTATGAAAGAAAACAATTAATTGCCCTTGAAAACCCATGTTTGCTTAATGAAGGGGGGGGGGGGGTTGAAGTACATATTGTATGTGATTGATAATGTAAAATAATGGTGACAGCAAATCAATAAAAGACACTCAGAACTAACACTATCCATAAGGGCATGCAAACTGTACATAACATACTTCCAACCTTATGTCAGATATTTTTCGAAGTTCTTTTTAGAAAATATTGAAATAAATTTCATGAATAATTGAAGTTTTTTTCCAAAAAAAAAAAAAAAAATTCAAAACAATTTGAAGGAAAACAATTTAAAGCAATTTAGAGAAATTCCAAATGATAACTAGATATTGTCGATAGGTAGCCATGGAATATCCCTGCACTTTCCCACACTGAAAGGGTAGCTCACCCTCAGGGGCCCCATTCCCTAGATATCTATGGCAGTATACCTGTATGACAATGCCTGGGTCCAATTTGTAAAATTGTTGCAAATAATCTTCATTGTAACTGCATAAAAAGGATCAGCAAAAAAAAAAAAATAATAATAATAATAAATAAAAAAAATAATAAAAATAAATAAAAATGGATAATCCACCCCTCCTACCCCCCTGGGACAACACAGCCCCAATGCCCACATAACTGACTGGCCCATCCACATGCCTGATAAAAGGTCTATTAATCCCAAAAAGTTTTGACTTCCTCACTCTAATGGCCTAGGAGGAGATACACTGTAGTTGAAGTTAAAGGCCCCATGTACATATATGTCATGATAGGTCTGCCAATACCAAATACTGAACTTTTTGATTAAAAGTGACTAGGAAGAGTTAGCAGAAATCACAACATGAAAAGAATTTATAGCAATCAATCTCTCCCCCCCCTCCCCCCCAGGGACAACTCAACCCCCAATTGCACTGAAGTCCGATGTGTCCATGCACATCCTCAAAGACCTAAGGACTCATGAACCCAAAGATGCATGGATACAGATGGGATTATATTATCATTGACTTTTGTCTCAAAAGTGCAGGGAGAAAAATACATGATTGTTTTAGTTTTGTACATACCGGAAGGTTTATCATGTCTATTTTACATATGCTACAATATACAACTTGACTGAACTTGCAAGAAGATTTCCTGACAATGTCAAAATGCCCTTATTTATAGACACCTTTGTAATTACATCTCAGCTAATGATTTCAGAGTAATGGAGTGTGAAAAAAATCTCATAAATACGATCAGGAAATTGAATGTTTCGCTGTCAAGTCAATAATGTCACATGTGCAAATACATGAAATTCAATATAATACGTACAGTAAACCATACGTGTATGATGTACATACTAGTGTGAGGGACTAGTATTATACCCGGAGATTCAGAGATAATTGGAAACTGAACTCTTTTAGCAGAGGCACACTCATAATAATACAATAGAAGCGGGTTTCTGGTCATCAATATATATATATATATATATATATATATATATATATATATATATATTGTATATGAGAGAGAGAGAGAGAGGACCCATTGGGGGAAGTGGCAGTGATCACAGTTCACAGCAAATAAAACCGTCAATCCACAAATAACAGTAAATAAAACTTTGTTCTCATTTCACTGACAATAGGAGTAATCCCTTCATTTCATAAAAGGTAAAGAATAAAAAGCCACAATGAAGAGTCATGGGAATGGGGTGCTTCACAGATCAAGCTGTTTCATGCATCTACGTAGGTCTTCAAGACTAAATAAAACACCCATTGGGACCCTCTATATATACACAGCATGCTGGTAAACTTACAGGCACAGAACAATGAGGACACTGCATCATATCTAGCTTCACCTGGACGGGCTAAATAGATAATGATGAGAAAAACATTAAATAGATACCATTTCATTGTAGCATTGTAGTTCACAACTAAGCTGATTAGCGACCTAACTGAGCCATGGATCAAATATGCAGTGCAACTCGATCTATTGCTCTGCTTCTACAAGGAAGGTACACATCGGAGACGGGGAATCTATTAGGGGATTATGGGACATTTTTTCAAGTGAATGCCATATTTGATCTGCAGCTCAGTTAGTCTGTGGATCAATTTGGGTGTGAACAGAATGAGCCACAAACAGGAAACAAATAAGTACAATGAGAAAGCACTGACTGCAAAGAAATGACAGATTTTCCACTGGCACAAACTTTGACGATTCTTGACTTTACAATGCAGATCCAGGGTTTTGCATGGGGGCTAAATACTACTCAGGGCGGATCCAGGATTATTTGAAGGGGGGTTCAGAACGACGGGTCTCGGATGCGAAGCCGACCATCACCCCCCTTGTGTGGGGTTCGAGGTTTGCTCAAAGGCCCCACATTTTTTTTGGTGTTTTGGAGGGCAAACAGCTAGTGCCCTTTGGTACAGTTTAGAACTATGATTTAGCTAATCAAAATTTTAATTTCAAGCGGGGAATATTGGTGTGATATATGTACCGGTATATTTCAGAAACTGAAAATCCGCCACTGAATACTGGTATTCCCGATATGTTTTCTTTTTATATTTGCATATGTAAAACAATTGAGAGACACTGGTATATGCACATGTATGGTAGAGTAACAGGGATGAAAGAATTGCTTGTACATTTGCCATTGTCACAAAAAGACCCTCATTTTTACAGGTGTGGTTCAATTATGATAAACAAGTTTGAGATCCAGTGAAAAACCTGGCCACCAGAGGCAACGTACTATCACAACAAACACAGTAATACAGAGATATACAAGTACATGAGGGAATTTGTAATCCTTATATATTACTAGTGCTTTCATGTTAATCATTATTGATGATAATAAGTAAATTTTTTGACTTACATTGGCAAAATAATGTACAAAATGTATGTGATGTTGATGATGTACGTGTTATGCTTTGGAACTGTACATTGGATTTTCATTTTTAAGTAATCAGAAAGTAACCTTGATGAAATATTTAAGTTGTGTAAAAGCTTCAACTTTTGACTGTTTTGTAATTTTTAAATCTCTTGTGCATCTCAAATTACCCAAACAGTCAAAAGAGATTGTTTGGTAACATATCAGTGATTTAATTCTAACACTGTATAGACAGCAGTATTTTTAGTTCAGGTATGATCTGGCCAGTAGCATACGTAGTTTTAACTATATTAGAATACATATGCAACTCGTTCATCATAACCAAAATGAAGTTTGAAGACAAACTGGGTTTTCATCTGCACGGGATAAGGACTAACCAAATACACCATTACTCTACAATACTATACTGATCACGAACAACAATAAAAAGCTGTCAGTTTCTCCTGCGTGTAATTTCAGAGGCCATTTTATCTGTCAAATTTTTTTGTATTGATTCATGAATAAATGGGACAATAATATTCTTCACCCTAATGATAAAGCTAAATGAAAAAGGGTAGTGATATACCAGTAAATGTCTTTCATATTCAGCCCTGCAATTTTCTGCCATGGCATGTGGTGAATAAATGCACTAGCTACAGTAAGGTTTTTAAAATATATAATGATAATATATATTCTATATATCATTTCTGCTTTCTTTATACAATTATAAAAATAGTCCATGTATAATTGGGTTCATTGTACTGTTCAGTGATGTAATTTATATGACTATTGGCAGATTTCTGACTTTTGTGAGCCAAAAATATTACTATTGAGATTGATGCAGGTGGCCCCATGTCATATTTTCAGACTTTTTTCATTAAATGGCAGTCTCATCCCTAACTGTTAGACTACAATAATCTGGCCATCACTTGTGACAGCCCAAAATCTCATAAATAAGTCTTGAATCAGCAAGAAATTGTGTGATCTGGAGCAAAAAAGGGTCAGCCATTATAAATGTCAGACTAGCGATCCAGTGCAGTGTGGAGACAAATTAAGAGCTGACAAAATTTGTTTATGCAAAGAAGAGGTCAATAGCTAACTAGTGAAAAAAATTGAACAGTTCTTTAGAAAATGTCTGAAATTTCATTTTTCCCACAGATCCGACAAGAACATCATGAATCTTATACTGTAATTCTCTAAACAAATGCCATAGACCAGTGAACCACTTCTGCGTACATTATTCACATTTATACACAGGTAAAGTCTGCATGTGTGACATCCTCTTATTAATGCAGGTGTGGAGTTAATGTCATTGTTATATATTCTAAGAGACAGTGTATTGACCTTTTGTTTGCCATTCTGTACAATTTTTCAGAGCAAATAGGTCACACATTTGTCAAGTACCAAACTCAGAACTACCCTACACATATACATTTATACAAATAAAAAACAAAAAATTTGTATAACAGCAATTTACAAAATAATAATAATAATAATAATAATAATAATAATAAATAAATAAATAAATAAATACATAAATAGTACAAATTTTTAATTTTTTTTAAATAGTAAATAGTAATTAGGAAGCAGGAGTATGATTTTTTTTGGGGGGGAGGCTGAAAATTGAAGATGCTGTTCAGTTATCCCAGAAGGATAAAAACAAAGTTAACTAGAAAAGCACTCTGAGAGCGCAGACCTCCACCAAGGCAGCAATTTTTGATTATTATTGATTATTGATCCAGATCACCACCAAAAACTAATCATCTCTTCCTTGGACCACTTCTGACAGTTCCTGAAAATTTCATCAAAATTGGTCCATAACTTTTTGAGTTATGTTGATGACAAACAAACAGACAGACAAACAAGAGTGAAAACATAACCTCCTGATCCTTAGTGCAGGTAAAAAAACATTATTATAAAAAAAGAAAAATCACACCCCTAAAGAAGTGAAACGTGTGTTTACCTGTGCTGCCACTACCATGTGGTTGGCCTTGTGGTTGTCTTCAAACTCCTGTGCTATGTACTCTGCAACAGCCCCAGCAAGAACCGCCGCAACAAATCCAGAGGCTATGCGATTCATTTCTTGTTGACAGTCCTCCTCAGTAAAACATTCAGGATCCGACTCCTTCTCAACACATTTGACAGCTTTGTTGCCCATGCCAGCATGTTTTGCCTGATGTCCCAGGTCTAATTGGTCATGCTGTAATGTTATTGACACGCCGTTTAATCCAGTCTCGCTGCACTGGCTTTCAGGATGATATCTTTCACCGGGTTGCAACCTGCCACTAGCTGGCGCTGACTTAAATGCATTGTTTTCCCCGACATTCATTACTGCAGCATCCCTGGATGAATTGACTTGTTTCAATCTTGCACCTTGGTCGCTGTTTATCATATTGCTAGCTTTCCCTTTGCTTTGTCCATTAGATTTGATTGATACGGATTCACAGTCTATGCTGCCTCCATCAGCTCCAAGAGGATCAGGCGCTAGTTCACTAGTGGCTGTCTCTGTGTCATCAATTTTCCATTTTATCACCACATTCTGAAGTCAAATGAGAAACGCTGAGATGATTTATTTATCAGGAATGTAAATGTCTGGATGTTTGACTAACCTGCATCAATTTTGTATTGAGCTGCGTGAGTGCTTTTCTAGCAATGATATATTGTCATAAAACCAGCAAGAATTGCTCATTTGTCATCAGGAAGAGGGTTTCATTACCCCATAGCTGAGAAAATGTGAGGACTGAAGTAAGTCATAAAAACCCTATTAAATGCTCGAGTAATCTGATTTTGAAGAACTGTGCACAGCAAATGTCAACAGGAAAATAAACCTTTGTGTATGCCCCTAATACCTTGTGATACTCCTACATGAACTGTTTAATTAACTGCTAGACCTGTAGGAGTCTCCATTCTAGAATCTTGAGATTGAGTTTTTATTACTCGTTCCGTTTACCTTCTCGAATGTGATATTTATTCATTTAGATATCTACCTTGTACATAAGATTTATTTATTCATCTTTTCATTTATCTATCTCCTTATCTATTCATTAATTTATTGTATCATTTATTTATCTATTCATTCCATCATTCACACATTAAATGATGTATTTATATTCATTCATTTTCTTTTATGGCTAAGGACTATAAGCTACAAAAAAACTTAAGCAAAGAGAGGTATCAAAATACATGTAGAAATGATTAAATCCCTGCAGATACCCAATTTAACTGAAAGTAATGTTTTTTTTTTAATCATTTCTATTTTCAGCTTCTAATCAGCTCAAGAATTGCTGATCTACAAGGCCATTCACATGGACTGGGACCTTATAAATAATTAACACAATTGTAATTCTTATCAAATGTTTTTGTGAACATTTCAGAAAGCATTACTGACATCAGGTATGGGTTTTACAAAATAAAATTTTAAATAAATTATTTAAATTGGAGTGGTTTATCAATTACAGTTGTATATAAGGTCTGATTTGGTAAAGATAAGTTCAGCTTTGCAGGAAATAAAAGTAAACATAGAAAATATGATTTAAGGACATTTTCAGACACTGATATCATAAAAAAAGCTTAATTACCGTTTCCTTAATGAGATGTATGACTCACACTGATCAGTATTTCATTACGATCAACTCCACAACGCATCATTATCAATCTGTATCTGCCACTGGACAACTTAACCTTTTCAAAACTGCCGGGATAGACAGTTTATTCATCCAAAAGCTTTTCCTGCTTTTGTCCATTAGTCACAGGTCTTCAGGCTTTGCAAGATTACTAGAAACATTCAAGCAAAATGCCATGTGCACAGTAATTTTATACTAAATCAAAAATGGAGTGCTTTGTAACTTGTTCAAATTAAAAATGCAACAATGACCATTAACAGTACTGTACTCTTATGCGGGTGCTTAATTGCTGCAATTCTAGATAAATGTAGCTACATTTTCACTTGTGATGGCCTACTGCATGCATGTTGATGTTTCTATACCCCAAGTATATAGTATAAACATATAGACTGGACTGCCATAATTATCTGTTGAGATCAAAATCTAACAGGTACAATGTAGATCAATGAAATTTCAGGTCAAGCCACTGACTGAAAAAGATAATTTGAAATTCAAAAAAGCAAAGATGACTTTTAAGGTCTGACAACTGTGTTTTTAGCATTGATTTAAATGACAGATTTGAAAAAAAAAAGGTTAAAAATTACAGTATATTTTCAAATCAAGTTCTTGAAGGCAACTATAGTGGGGTATAGTGAAAAATTTTGCTCCACCTCCTTTTCTACCTGATAAATCCTTTTGGTGTATCAGATATCTGGGCAATTACATGTATATGTAAGTGCCCATCATTAAAACAGCTTGTTTCCACCAAATTTAAAGCATTCCAAAATTAGGCAGCAAAACTACAAATAAACAGAAACCTAATAGAAAAAAAAACATTGTGATAATATTAACAAATAAAAATATCAGTAACTTCTGCCAAAATAATCAAACATATTGATTTAGGAAACTAACATGCTCTTTCACCAAAGAAAGTCACTGAGGAAAGTCATTGTAAAGTTGTAGGCTTAATCACTGTCGGGGGGGGGGGGGGGGGGGGGGGGGGCTACTAGATTATTTTACCACTTAGTCTGCCATTAAGTACTTAAGACAATACAATGTTAACTAACACAATAAGTGGTATTCATCATCCCAAGAGTGTTAACGGAAGCAATTATGCCTTTAATCTCTAATGACGGAAATAAGCTGAAGGTATTGATTTTATAATGGAGACATTACAGTATACCAGTAAGATTATCAAGAGCTGCATACTGTACTAAGACCCCATTCCCATAGATTTTAGATCGATCTATCCCTGTGGGGAGTCTCACTAGATTACTGTCAGCTTAGCCAGCTCAAGTGTCTGTCCTGCCTACTAAAAGCTGTAAGGGGGTAATTAACTATGGTGCGCGCTCCGCTGACTGCAATTTAGCGTGAACACCCAGGGAGTTAGGTCGATCTAAATCTAAATCTCTGGATCGATCTAAATCTCTGGGAATGCACCCTAAGAGTAACAGTAGCCACTGTACATATTTCTATAAATCTCTTTTAAAAAAAAGTTATGACCCATTAGTTTTTGCTGGTACTATTATATATAATTATACTCAAAGGAATGTCCAATCTTTTAAAAGTTATGGGTTTGCATAAGCACTGCTAGCTATTAGTAAAGTCCTTCTCTCATACTGTGCAAGTGTCCATGCACACACTGCACACAATTACTCTCACATGCACTTATATTTGTGCACTATATACTCACATAAAATACGTGCATGCACAATACTATATAGTGTAATATACTGGTACTACATGTAGTACACATACTGTTAATTATTTGGAGCTAAAAATGTGCATTCATGCTTGAACACCTTTGTTGCAAATTAAACTACAGAAAGTCCCCCCACCCCTCAAAAAAAGTTCAGCAAACAAAATTCCCCTGTCTCTGATAGTAAAGCAGCTTTATTGACATGTTGTCTGCCCATACATTGTAACAATAGCACCAGTCAGAGTCCCCAGAGTATGTCAGCTAGCTATAGTATGTACTTCTGTCCTTCTTTAATGAATGACTATTGCATTATTCTAAAGCGTAATGGTTATATAAGTGATTATACAAATAATGGATAAGATGTCATTACTTTTACAAGGATATCTACAGTTTATATGTTGTATAATTGGCACACTGAGGGATCATTCCCAGACCCTGTCGTACTAACTGTGGATTGATCTATCTCCAAGGGGATTCTCTCTAAATTACAATCAATTTAACTGGCTTAGATGTCTGTAACGCCTACTGAAACTGCTTGGGGAGAATTAATTATCATTTAGCAGCTTCAGTAGGCGTGCCAGTCATCTAAGCCGTTTAAAATGGAAGCAATTAATATAGTGATAAACCCCTCGGAGATGGATCGATCCTGTTAGATCGATCTAAGTATGGGAACCCAATCTAAGTAGATCAATTGCTTCTCATAAAATTACCCACGCCTTAACTATAACTTAATTCCTGTAGTGTGTGTTGGAGAGGGGTAGGGGCATTTCTGATAAGTCAGATTCTCTGCAGATCTCAGATATAATGGATACAGGTTTAACAATTTACTAAGGATGCTTTTGTTGGAAAGCTGTTTAAGTTAAGCTGTTCTAAATCTATTTAAAGGAGCAGTTTCCATTACATGTAACTGACTACATCCCATTCATGCATGTATTCATTCGTATGCAATTGCCAGGTAACTGTACATTATTGACTTGACATATTTTCCAAGTCAGCTGCTAAGTTGCTTAGATAATTGATGAAGCCAATATATTCAGTGACCTTCTTCTTCAGTGTTTTTTTTTTACCGTATTATTCAAAGGATGTTATAAACTATCACAGAAATATCTGAATTGGATACCGTAGGTTATTATCCCCCCTTTCTTATCGTGTACCCAGCTAGAATGGGAGCCCCGGCTGCCCACGGGAGCCCAGGCTGCCAAAGAGACTGCCAGGGAGACTGCCCTTTTGCAGTCTGGGGCTCCAGTGTGCAGTCTCCTTGAGCAGGCAGACTGCAAAGGGGGCTGCAATAACTTAAACATTTTTGCAGGAGACTGCAAAGGGGGCTGCTTTTCTAGCTGGGTAGCCAAACTGGCTCCTTGCTTTACCCCACCACTTCCGCCTCAACCCTTCACCCGCCCTCTGGAAATATAAATCTTATTCAGTAATTAAAGGCAATCCCTGAGGTACAATGTACATATATATGGACATGCCTTTGTCTTCGGGTTATAACAAATATTATAAGGTACAACATTTACTAGTACTACTAGTATATATAACAATGAGTAGTTCAAAGCAAAATTTTAATTCACTAGTGTATTAAACCCATGAATAGATAATAGGGCAAATAGTAACATATGGATTTACCTTCAGTATATTTACCATTCTTATTTATAGTGGCTTAATTGAATATTTTGGTTCAACCTGCTTTCAAACATGTAAATGTGCCAGGTTTTTTTTCTAACAATCAAATACGGAACTCTAATATTTCTTGTTCAAGGTACTGGTACCACATAACCAGGGGCCGTCTTCTGGGTCTACATTTTTTTCTGTCGGGAGACGGTCAAAAGTGGAGGACGAATCAATAAAGATAATTCGGAAGCCTGTCAGAAAATATCTCTGGATCCACCCCTGATAACCATGGCATATCCAATGATGAGTATTGCCTACCTGACATACACTGTACCTGGTGTGAACCACTCTCTGCCTTGTACCAAGTACCTGCAGTTTTACTTGACAGCTAATTGCAAAAATCCCTGGTGTATGTAAACATTTCACTTTCTTGCCCAGGAAATGAAAAAACCTAAACTGTAAGTAGTCAAAGTCCCATCTGACAGCGTATTGATAGAGGTGTTAATGGCATACACTCACTACAGTATGTGCCAAATATTATTACATCTGTAAGTATTTAGCAGGGGCAGATCCAGGATTATTTCAAGGGTGGTCCGCTGATGTGAAGCTGACCCTCCCTCCCCCCCC